GATGGTGCCAACTTGGGCCAGTGAAGCAACGTCCTCCACAACTAGACTGAAGAACGAAAGGACAGCAACTTGTCTGTTCCCCTCCCCCCAATTCCCCAGCACTGTTCCCATCCCCATTCCCCAATAAAAATCTTAAAAAATAAAATAAAATAAGTATTCTGGGGGCTGGCTGAGTGGCTCAGTTGGTTAAGAGCTCGCTTAAGAGTTTGAGCTCTGAGCAACAGCGGTTTGATGCCCGGCCTGAGCAGAGCAGCCGCTGAGCTGCCAACATGCCAACAACAGGTGGCAGGATGGCTCAGCTAAAAAAAAAAAAAAAAAATTCCAAATATCTCTTTATAATATCCTTTATAATTTATGAAACATGCTATATCATTCACATTACCCCAACCTAAATCACTCTCCAGTAAGTCTCACTGAACTAATGATTACCTCTCTCTGAATTAGATAGATGAATTTATAAAACTAGTCTCCCTTGCCCCAAAATATTAAACAAAAACATTAATAAAAGAGCCTGTTATAACCAATATTTCTTCACAATATAAACACTGCTTCCTTCAAGTTTTTAACAGGAATTGATATGTTTTACAGAATTTTGTTTCTTCCTTTAATATAAGTGACATGCAGTGATCATAAAAGAAACCATAATATCTAGGACCGACACGCACATGGCACTATGCTAGGTATTCCCTAATCTGAGTTTGGAGATATAATAGTAGTTTTATTTAACATTGAACGGCAAGAATGATCAACTGTTCAACAGTGTCATAAAGGGGTTTGGGCTTGCTAATAATAAACTTAAATCAAACAAAGAGTAAAAAAACAATGTGAAAATACTTTATACCTACTAGCCTGTTATTAGGCAGCTGTTGAAAACTCAGCTTTACTAAACACAAAAGGAAATAAACACAAACATATTCACAGAATTCTGCTTCCAAAAGGACTGCTCAGTCTTGGCTAAATATATCACAAATGTAAGATCTTAGTATACTGGCTGAAACCGACAAGCATGGAGGCATGGACTACAAACAGGAAAACAAGAGCATTTCTGTTTCTCTTCTTTCAAGAAGTTCAACTACCGTTATCATTAAACATAACCCCCAATTCTTGTTTCCAGTAGTTATCAGAAGCCAAGGAATGCTAACAAGCCTAAGAAGAAAACTGTCACTATCATAAAAGACTAGCCAAATGACCAGAAAAAGCAGGAATGTAGAAACCAAAAGCAGGCAACACTAATACACTCATAATCTGCAGTGATCTGTTTGGAATATTTTTCTAACTCCCAGCTAGTTTCAGTAAAGGCTACAGAGATAGTATTTTATTAACATAATGCGTATTTTATAATAATACAGTATTCACTCAATTTTCTAACACCAGTTCTAGGAAAGCAGGGAAGAGGCAATAAAGCACACTGCATATATCTATCAATTTACACAGAGAGAGAAAAATCAGTAGATATTAAGTGCCCAAAGAATCTCAAACTGACTTCTAGTAAACTCTTCAAATCTACAATTCATGTCCAAGATATAAAACCAAAGAACAAAACTATGCACATGATAAGGTTGTACAAAATTGGAGATTTCCCCCATTCTAAGATGACTTTGGGTCACCAGAGCAACAATTGATCAGTCTGGGGCAAGGGGGAGGAAAAAGACAAAAAAATTGACCAAAAAAAAGAGAGTAAACTATAAGGCATATTCTACCTGTATATTTAGATTACCTGGCTTTATTTAGCAAGAAACTGGACACCTCAAAATAGATTTATTATGCATACCTAACCAAGGTACCATGTTTTGTATAAAGTGAGTCAAATCAATAGTAATTCCTCAAAGAGTTTTCCAAACACTTAAAGATTCCTCCAAGCTCTACAGGCAAGACTTAGTACCTTGGAAATTTTGGTAGCTAAACTTTAGGAGGTAAACAAATGCGCACTGAAAAGTTATGATTTTATATTACATATATCAAATATACTGTTGGAAAATTGCACACCCAACTTCTATCACACCTGTAACTGAGTGCTCTGCAAAGAATAACCCATCTCTCAGCTTCCTCATCAGCCATGCTTGCTTTTTGGGGAAAGATCGAAGTTTCTGAGGGATAAAAATCAACGTTCTTAAGAACTGTTTATAATATGGTGCCTTACCAAAAGGAGGTAGTCCATACGTTTGGGTTGCCTGAGGGTAGACAGCATACGGTTGAGACTGCTGTAGTGTCTGGTACTGAGTCTGCCCAGGATAAGCAGTTTCCGAAACAGGAACTGAGAGGATATGTGCATAAGGTCTAGAAAAGTTTAAGAAAACAAAACTTTCATGTGTGATTTATTTAAGTAATAAAAACTAGGGGAAATAGGTAATACTACTAAATACAAAGAATTGGCAACGAGGAGACAAACCTTCCACATAAAATGTCTCTTACTGTGGTCAGAAAGTACAGCTAATATTTCCTTTCCAGGTTTTACTACAACCTGACTAGAAAACAATTTTACGGAACATTTAATAGTTTTAAATATCTTCCCAAGGTCCAATAACTATGCTACAAATATTTGTGGTATGCTACGTGCATGGCCCTATGTGCTACACGGGTAGATTAAAGTTGTTTATGCCCTTATATCTACATATAGAATAAAACTCTAAAATAACAGAAAATTGGATAGAATAGTATTCGCAACTGGCTCTTATTCTTCACTCAGCCCTCTGGGCCAAACTAAAGCTCTAAGAGGGAAAGTGGGACTTGGAAAAAAGGACTTGGAAAAAAGGCAAGCAAACACATTAGAAAACAGAGCATAGGAGTGGGTCTCCATATTGCCAAATCAAGCCTACAAAATGGGAGTCAGGTAACTTAGAAAATCTGGGAAGTCCCAGACAGGACTAAGAATTTCCCCACTAACATTTAAGCCAGAGTATACAGCCACATCACATTTAGCTAGGGATTTGAATTCAGCAGAGAAAATTCTGTGACTTTAGACTAACTAGGTGACCTGGTCATCTCATTCATGCAATAAGATGATCCCATATTTTATGCACTAAAATTTTAGATACAAATTATATTATTTGTTGAGTTATGCTGTACTTACAATGCAAGAAAAAGTGTTGTACGTACCATGTAAGTCATAATGATAAAATACTGGAGGAAAGGGGTGTTTCAGAAGGCAAAAAGATTGTTTTCAGCTTTGGGGGAGAGGAAAAGGGGAAAAAGCTATAAAGAAGTTGTATAAGCTGAGGAGATAGGATGTGTAGATAGAATGGGAGAGTAAAGGTGTTTTAGGAAGAAAAAAACTCTGGCAAAGGTACAGAGGAAGAAAAGCAAGGCTTCAGCCTTCGGATTGTATTAAGGGAAGGATATAAAGGGAAGGGAAGTAGCGAGAGAAAGATAGCCAAGACCTTGAATAACAGGCTAAAAGAATTCAGACAAATCTGAAACAAGTGGGAGTCACTGAAATTGTAGAGAAAAAGGTGACAAGATCAGAGCTGTTCTTTAAGAGGTATTAGTTTGACATTGCTTTATAAAATGGATTAGAAGGGAGAAAAACTGGAAATACAAGTCCAGTTTAAAAAGCTATAATGTAATGGTTCAGGTAAGTGGTAAAGAGGTCTGAATTAAGATAGGAAACATAACTAATAAGGTGCCCGGAATACAGCAGGTATGTAAATCTTTTTTGGATGAGTGAATGAATTTGGAATATATAACATATTCATATCTCAGTAGATTCTAAGAAACTGAATTTGAAAATTTCTATTCTTCTTAGCCAGATCTGAGACCAGAAAAGAGCTCAGATTACAGCTGTTCGTCAAGTTGCATGAAAATTATCTTAAGTCTCAGTGATTACTCTCTAGATATATTAAAGATCATATCTTTTTTCATATAGTGTCTTTATAAAAAGTATTTTGTTATCTCCTTCATAATGATCTCAGCGAATAGGTTCACTCATTTCACAGAAGAAAACCACATGAAAATGACTGGCCCAAGATGCTATTAGTGATAATACCAGATTAGAATTTGGAAAACTCATCAAGTTGATTTTTTAATTAGTGTATTTAACTGATGCAAAACCAAAAGGTACAAATGGGCACAAAAAGGAAAAAATGCCAGTTTTCTTTTTATAATAACCCCATAGGCAACACTTAACCTTTGTTATCAATGTCTTTATGTATTTTGCATATGTAAGCACATAAGAATACATCCTAGTTTAAGAAACACATTTGTATGTATTTATGCATGCATAGGCTCACTATCAATGCACAGCTGGTAGCCTGGCACACATACTGTTCTGCACCTACTCATCTGGGGAGATGATTAACTTCGTGGATCTTAAATGCTGATCTGACCCCATGAAGGCCCAAAATATCACCTCTTAGTGACTTCAGCCCACTAAACCTAATTTCAAGTCCAGTTCTACTTTGAAGACATTCCTAAAAATAAGAAACTGAACATAGATTAGGCTGAGAAGTCCCAGTATGAGGCTGGCATGATCTGTTTTGTTTATCAAGGTAGAGGAAAGAGAATGATCAGAGATCAATTACTGATATGCTTTAATCACTAACAGTAGTTTTCATTTTCAGTGCCTATTCATTCAGGGCGAGCTTCCAGGTAACAGTGATCTACCTATTCCAGGCAACTATGACTTTTTGAAAGGATGTTATATAGATTCTATATTTAGGGGGAATAAAAAAACTGGAGTAGGGACAGAGAGAACAAGAGAAGTGAAAATAAATTAAATGTTAATAAGTTAAATATCAAGTTACATTTTGCAATGAACCTAGAGAAAAAGCATATAGATTTTGAAATAATTATTTAACTTACTTTGCAGAATACATTTGTGAGGTATAATCATTGGATGAGCGAGGAATATAATCGGTGCATGTCATAACTGAAAGAAAGATATCACCAGGTAAAAAGTTAGAACATTTCAAAAATGAAATGGGAAAATTGCACATCTCACTGTATAGTCCTTCAAATTAAATAAAAAAGTAGTTTGGACATCAGAAATCTAGAGAGACTATATAGTAGAAAATACCTCACTCTTCTAAAAATGGGTTTAGAGACTTTTAGAAACAGTAAAAGAAGCTAGAATGTGGGGGGTATGGAAAAGAACTGAAGGTTGGCGCCCTCACCCAGCACTGATCTAAAACCACAGATGGAGCAACCCTGAAGCTCTTGGCTGCGCTCACAGGCAAACTGAAAAAGCAAACTCCCTATCTAGGAAACCACATTATATTTCAGGTTATTCATTCTCTGGGTGCTTACTCTCTATTCTGGGTAAAAGGCCATATAAATGACTTGCAGGAAGACAGGCTTGGGGGTAGTAACCAATTTTATTAGAAATCTGTTGCTACTGCTGTATATAATGAGCAGTAGAAAAGATGGCAAGTATGCTCCTATGCTACTATTTTTTCGGCCTTGTAGTAAAGGCTTTAAGTTTGGCACAGCAGAGACAGACCTGAGGAACTGATGTGATGCTCTGATGAACCATTAAGTAAAGCGACTTTGACAGCTAGTGTCTTCTTGACCCCCATGATTTCATCTAAAACAGCTGCTATGAAGGCTTAACCCTCATGATTTCCTCTTGGATAAATGCTATAAATCTTCAGCTCAAGTTTGACCGGTAGCAAAATCCTATTCATTAAGCACTATTTCTGTCTGTAGACAGTTATATCATAAAGAGCTTATACCGGACTCCTGCATTGTTCAAGAACTTCCTTCGACGTCTATAAAGGAGGTTGCTCTACTATGAATAGGGACTAAGAGTGAACAAACTAAATTTATGTCTAGTTGGGTTCCCTGGGTGTCTGACCCAAAAAGGGAACTCTCGGGCCGGCTGAGTGGCTCAGCTGGTTAAGAGCTCGCTCAAGAGTTTGAGCTCTGAGCAACAGCGGTTCGAGTCAGCCCGAGCTGAGCAGCCGCG